TTGTGGTTAAATACTCTAAATGTGAGGAAAAAGCCCTTAGGGAACCTGTGATAGTGGCAACCAGTTTTTTACTCGTTGTGAAACACAGGGTGATTCACGGTTTATAAAAAAAACAAAACAAAACAAAAAACCCCAAAAAGCCACTGCAGCACTTGCTCAGAATTTGTCAGGAGACACTGGGCAGCCAAAGGAGAAATCAAGCACTGGTAGAATTTCTGAATGCTAGGTAGGTCCACCGTGGATGGTCTTGACACACTGCACCTTTCCTGAGTTATGGCACACTCCTCTAGCAGTAGAGTTTCTGTTTCCTGAAGTTATTCTCATTAAATCTCATACTTTTGGTACCAGATGGAGGAAGCAAAATAGAATAAAATAATTGGAGTAAGCTTGTGTATTTGCAGAATATTTGCTGGGTTTAGGTGTCTGTATCACACTCATTGCTTGTTAGGAAATTCCTTCCTTGAGGAAGGTTGGTCCTATGCAGGAAGATTTTATTGACTGAACAGAGATTATAGCATTGATGCCTACATTTGTCAGAAACTTTACATTTCTGATATGCAGCTTGTGTGGCTCTGTGCTTCATTTTCCAACTGTGAGTTTGTACCACTTCAGCATTATTTTAAACTTGGTTTCAGAGGGGGGTACAAATGTAACCCAGTACAATATGCCAGGTTTCATTAAGTACTGTATAGTTTACAAATTTTACGTGATCTTAATGCATAACAATGAATCAGTCTGCATTTGTTGAAAATGCCTCTAAGTTTTAGCCTACTTTTTAAAGAACTTGGTATTGCATTCGAGTTTGTAAGAAGATATGGCACCAGGGAAGATTGCAATGTTTAATTTTCAATATTAACATACAGCTCTCACAGTAATCTAGACTAGGGACATAGTGACCTGTCATTAAATGGTAATTAATCTACCGACAGTTCAGTGTCTGAAGTGTGCTGCCTTTGTCCTCTAAAGACTTAGTGAAAAAACACCTTGGAATATAAAGCTTTTCCAGAGTTCAGAAACATTTCACCAGTGAGTGTTTATTAATTTTAAAATCCTTGTTTCTATGAACTAGACATATAATTTATTTATTTTTTGGAGTGTTAAGAAAATATGTTTCCCATAAAGGGCATTTTTTGGCAACAGAAATACTTCTGGAGCTGCATTACAGTGTTATTTGCTTGCATCTATGTTGTTAAGACTAGCATGTGCTAGTTTTTTTCCACCATGTCCTTATAGCTCCAGATGGAGTAGTACACCTTAACATACATTAAGCAGGAGGAAATAGAGTAAGGAAGTTAGGAAGGCATATTTCTGCTGGTCTTTTGTATTCAGGTTAAGGAAAATATTTGAAAATTGGCATGGAATCCATTTTTTAAATTACTAAGGAACATTAAATAATCTAGGTGGCTTTAAAGATCAGAACCCACTTTCTCTTCATGCTTTCGCAGTTCAGAAGTTGCTTCACTGATGTTAAACATAATCTGTATCCTTTCACTTGAGCAAAAGTGAAGACCACCCTCTCAAAGGAGATCTTACTTGGAGGAGTTGACTCTTATAGGTTAGGATTTCAAACTGTTGTTTCCAAAGGGTTGTGACAGTGGTGAAGTGTGAGTGTGTGATATTATTCAGCAGCTGCTGAAGTGTGGTGAGATGAGCATGCTATTGTAGGTTGCAATGTGCAACCTAGGTGTGTGATTCTGAATCCCTTTATTAGAATTGTTCAGTAGTTTACAATGGAGAGATAAAGGTCTGAAGACAACTATTGTTTACTCTCTACTCATTGAAGGAGATGCAGAATGCTGTAGTATAATCAAGCAAATAGCTTTGCAGGCAGCTAAGGGCTTGATTTAGAGGCAGCAGCCAGTATTTGTGAACTGATATATGTGGTCTGTCTGGTGCTATCCAGCCAGGTTCTGGCAGAGCAACAGTGCTGTGATGTGCAGTGGGAGCTTCCAAGCTCTTCACGTGACTTCAGGCAGCTGTGAGTCAGTGTGTTTTTCTTTCGTGCTACAGTAAAAATGTTCCGTTGAAGAATAGGGTTGATATTCTTAAGGGCAAGCAGGCAAATTGCATTCTCAGTGTTGCCCACTGCAAGTCAAAGCTTTTAGAGTATTAATGTTTGATGATAAGTAACATTAAGGTAAAGTAGTTGTGAAGAAGGTAAAAATAGACTTCAGTTAGGGAGAGGTTTTATTTCAGATCTCCCTCTGAATTAAACAGAAGAGCAACTTCCCCTTATAGGGTACAGCTACATCATTCTACTCCTTCCTTTCTCACTGCTATGACATAGCTGCAAAGGCTTAACTTGAAACAGACTTGTTAAATGAATAAGGGTAAGAGGATGTGACCTGCTTATGGTAGATTATGTCTGTCCACTCTTTCTTCAAGGATTCCCAAGTGCATAAACTTTGCTTTACTGTTGTGTTTTGTACTGCTTTTACAAGTGTATTGCAGAGCAGTTATTGAATTAATTGCACTTAGGCAAAAATTCTTCTGGGTCCCAGACAGTATGGTTGTGGAAAAGTAATGGGTTCTTTTGGTTCTTTCCGCTAGAAACTGGAATTATGAATCACTCATCTTAGAGAAACCAGTACCAGCTCAAAGTAAAGAATGCCCTGCTCTCCCCCACCTAGGGTTTCTTCTAAGGGATGCAATAAGAGAAGGAAGGAAGCTACCACAAACTCATACTACTACTTCCCAAATATACTTTGTTTGGTCTATTTCCTGATGGACTGATACCAATCTTTTCATATAGATTGTGTGCTCATACTAAGATTTGTGTTTGATGTAAATTGTGAAGCTTCATTGGCTTCAGCAGAGCTGAACTATTTTATACTGAGGCTTAACACAGGATCTAATACAATAACAAATTTTGTGCAACACTGTAACTTATGTCATGTTCTGGAGTTTCTTGTAGCGAGTGGTTCGGTTAAATATTTATGTGATTAAAATTGCAATCTCAGATTTGGATTGGTGGTATGTGTGTTTAAGTAATGGATCTGCATTTTGGCAGTGTTTGTCAGGTTTGAGGTTTTGGTGTTTTATGGTGTTTTTGTTTTTTTTTTTTTGTTTTTTTTTTTTTTTTGGTTTTTTTTTTAATGGCCTAATTCTTAGCTAGTGCAACTGGTTATTTTGTTTCTTTTCTTTAAATCTGAGTCTCTTCACACTTTGTGTTTCACTGTCCATTTTCCTCAATTCCTGCTTTTATGCGATTTTCCTATCTCTATTTGACCTTGGCAGGATTACTGTTGTTTGATAACTGAGGACAGGATGAGGAAGGTACCTTTGAAAACTCGTGCATAACTTTATTTTGTAGCATTATGATGTCCAAGTGTCAGAGAAGGTGGATGATATTTAACTCAAAAATGAGTTCTTTAGGGCATGTTTAAAGGAAGTATGTTCATTAATTTGCAGGACTCTTAGATGAAGGAATTGATAGATATTTGTATACTATTTCATCACTATTACTTGGCAAAATTTGTAAACTTACCAACCCACCGAAAAACCCCAACCAAACAAAATAGATTCATATATATTGAGATATTAAATTACTCTGTCTTAAAAATTCAGAAAAGGAAGTATGAAAAACAAAGGACTCTTATCTTCTAATGGATACACTTTGTTAAGCTTATTCTGAAAAGTCTTGCAGAGCAGTCAATGTCATATGATGCTGTAGTAATGTGTTCCATCTAGCATCATGTATTCTTTTTACTGCCCTTCTTTTTCCCAAGGGACAATGGATGCCATTAGGGGAAGCTTTTTACTTTTCCTGGTGCATGGTGAGAGCATAGCCCAAGTCAGCACTGCAGCTTCGGAGTAGATCCCAACCCAACTCAACCCAACCCAGCTTCTGCTGAGATTTAGAAACACAATAAATTTCTTTTGACAATGTAATCCATGCCCCAGCTCAGGTGCATGGATTACCTTTGGAAGAGCAGTATACCTTCTTACTAATTCACTGGAATTCCCTTTAAATAAATTCTAAAAAATGCTTTGAATGAAGAAAAGTTTTCTTTTAACAAAGAAAGTTCTCATTCATAGGAGAACCTGCATGTTTGGTTAGTTTGTGATGCATGTGAAAACATATGTCTCTTTAAGTTTTCTGGGACTGGGCTAATATTTTGAAACACGTGGATCCTTTAGCAAGGCATCCCTTAAATCAGGCATACTTTTCTGCCCATAATGTCGGAAAAATTGCAGTTTCCACTGATTTCTTCTTCCTGGACTGTGCAATTTCCACTGTGAAATTGTTTTCTTCCTGTAGAAGAAGTAATGATACATTTGCTGTGAGCATTTTAATTTCCAGTCTGTGGGATGTCACTTGGTAGTCATGGCTCTCACATGGTCATAATACAAAGGACTGGCTTGCATGCCCACATCCTTTTAGGCAGTTATTAAGGATATGTGAGTGGACTCAGTACTTTAGTCTGATACAGCAGTTTCTTGTCTCTTAATTTCTGCTTGTGTGTATAACATCAAGAAGTACAACCTCTGCTTTCACAATTTTCCCATTGCCACACTTTGTAAAAATAACTGAAATTACCTTGTATCAGGGAAAAAATACGTGTAAAGAAGTGGTTAAGTTAACAACATGAGGGAAAAGACTAGGGAAGTATGATTGTCTCTCATAAGTGGGGATAACTCCAGTACTACCTTTAAACTTGCCCCCTTTGTTGTTGTTAAATCCGTGGGGTAAGGACATGTGTGTTGGAGAATGGTGACATTGTAATGCAGCTTTATTTGGCCTTCAGGTTGACTTGCTTTCTTCATTTCTCCTGTGTAATAATGAGCTGCTCCCTTGTCCCACAAAGTACCATTTAAATGGTGAGGAAGATTTTAAAGAGCACTTTTGCTTTGCAGTCGGTCTAATTAGGACTTAGAACTAATTACAGTAGGTCAGCAATCATGACTGACTTCCATATATCAGTGTATGATTTCTGAACAGTCAGAAAGTCAAGGAAGGATCCACTTACATACTTCTTTTTGTTTTGCTTTTTCAACAGTTACATCGCAAACCAGCCAAATTTGGAAAGTATCAATGACAATGAGGTTGGATTTTATGTTGGACTTAAAAATCTGTGAGTATGAGATACATTTTATACAACTATTTTTTCTGTATTTCTTTTATAGAGGCATGTAGAGACCTTATCAAGGTGTATCCCTAACTTTGTGTGTTACTGAGGAAAGCTGTAAATCTTGCAGCTCAGCCTTGTAGAGATTTCATCCAAACTCTTATTTTAATAGTTATTTTCATTACACTTTCCATCATATTGAAATGAAACATTTTAACAGTTTATTTATTTTCCTAGGACTGTGGTGGACTCAGGCCTAAGATTTGTGTCCCGTCATGCATTTGTGAAAAACGTGAACCTACAATACATGTGAGTAAGAATACTGTCTGCATTCTAAGTCAAAACTGCCCAACTCTTGTTAATTTATTTATTGTTAATTTATTTCTATCTCTTAATCTATTTCTATCTTATTTGCATAATTTAAAAAAATATTTTAAAAATATTTTAACAAGACTGACTTAGAATGGTCTTCTATTGTTAGTTGTCCTTAAATAAGACATATATGGTAAGGAACTGGCGGATCATAAAAACATACTGTGTGAAAAGACCATCCAGTTCATTATTCTGTCTCTAGAAGTATACTTTGGCTGTGTCTTTTGTGATAAGTAATGTAGCACAAAGAGTGTTGTCTCTTGATGGTATGATGTCCACAGTGTGCATCACACTCAGTGACATGGTTTTGACTAGCTCTAGTCTGATTTGATGAGCTGAGCATATTTTAGCAGCTGCAGTGCAGGAGATGTATGCATGGAGCACATCTAATATTTTGATCAGTGTATGTGCCCAGAGACAGAGATATGACTATGACCTGAAGTCCTACAGGTGATTCACTTAGACAGCTCACTTAAGATCAGAACTAATGCGCCCAGAGCAGAATATAGGAATGATGTTGCTTTCACACCCAAATGTGATTTGCAGTTCATGACCCATAGGAAGCAGAATTTGTACCTGCACAGCTTTTTGACTGTGTTTTCCTAGATTTGTTATGCTTTAGATTTAGCAAAGGATGAACTGATCAAAGTTCTCTTTCTACAACTTTTTGCCTTCTGTGTGGGAAAGACATAGAGTAGCTCACTTTGCTACTTACATGGGAAACATGGATCTACTCCAGAAAACACTGAGATCATGTGAGTGGCTTAGTTCCTCACAAGTACCCTGTTTTAGCTAAATATTCCGATGTGTGCTTTAGTCCATACATCTTCAGCAGATGAACACTAACTTATATTAATATTTAACCGAACCCTTTGCTTTTATCCTAGTGAGATGGGGAAGACATAATGCCAAACCTTGGCTTTTTGAGATACTTCCTTGAAAAGGAAAGAACTGTTGAACAGAACACAGGGTTCTGTTTGATTTGATTGCTTTGCTCATGAGATGGAATCACTTTCTGACCGGTGTTTTCTAAACAACAGTAATTAATTTGTATAAGGAAGTGGACATGAATGCCCATTTCTGTCTAGACAGTAATTTCTATCCTTAATATGGAACAGTCACCAGAGGTGTGTGAACCAGATCTTGCAAGCCTGTTAAATTTATATCACTTCATATAGTCATTAATAAAGAGCTTTTACTATAATCAGTTGCTAACATAAAGGAAGTAAGTTCCAGAGTAAATTCAAGTGTTTGCCTGTGTAACAGTTGCTCAGTGAATTATGGCTGTAAACTATGAAACTGCATAAAGCCAAGTGCATGTGCACTGGCTGTGGAAATATGCAATAAGAACATGCTGTCTGAGGGGCATATTTGCAGAGAAAGATTTAGTGATTCTGCTGGGAAAGAAGAGGGATTCTCTCTCTGTGCAATGAGGCAGAACAAAGCAAATTCAAGTCTGGGATCAAAAGGAATATTGTGTTACATTTTTACATCTTTTCCCCAATGCATTAGCTGCTCTGAGGGAATCTGTTGCAATACCGAATGTAGATTAAGACACTGAATCTACTCATCTTGAAAGATGTTACAGAGAAGAGAAGTGGAGCCAGAAGAAGCTTGTAAAGCAAGTAATATAAGGAGGCTCAGAGCCTGAGCATGTTCAGTGCAATAAAGAGAAGATTGAAAAGGAACATACATCATTGCAATTGGTCAAAGAATAATGATCTGAAAACCAAAGAGGTTTGATTTAGATTAGATATAAGGAAGAAAGTTTTTGCAGTAAGGGTGATGAAACACTGGCACAGGTTGCCCAGAGACATGGTGGATGCCTCAGCCCTGGAAGCATTCAGGGTTACATTGGACGGGGCTCTGAGCAAGCTGGTGTAGTTGAAGATGTTGGAGAGTTGGAACTACATCACCTTTAAAGGTCCCTTAAACTATTCTATGATTCTATCCTTCTGTGCTTGTCTTATCTTTAAAAGAAGAATAGTTATGATGAGGAAAGGAATCAGTTCTCTCCATCACCATGAGTACAGTGTGAGAAATAAGGAGTTTAATTTGGAGAAAGATCAATAGAATTTTGGAAGGCCTTTCCAGCTGTCTGGGCAGGTAGACACCACAGAAATTGTGATAACTGGTATGATCCTCCTGAGAGGTTTTTATGCCTGTTGCCTTAGGGAAATGGGTTTCATGCAGTCACAAAGTGTGTCTGTCTCCAGTGTCTGCTTTTGACCAAAACTTACACAGGTACACAAGTTTTCAGAAAACTGACTGTTGAACAGAACAGAGAGACCCTATCAAAGTTACCACTTAAAGGAAAAGTATCACTATACATATGTGAGCTGCTAGGCTTTACAGAATCCAGTTGGATAGAATGCCTTTAAAGTTTTTCAGCCATAGCAGGGCTTCATTTGAGCATGCAAACTGGGAATACGTGTCTGCTGGTAAGCAGACTTTGGTAGAGCTGTAACTCATGAAGCTTCTTGTTAGAAAAAAATTAGACTGACTTGACATCTGTTCAGTTGATATAGATGAGTTCTTGATGCAGAATACTTACATTATGAACCAGAAGATTATCCAGTCTTGCACTGTGTTTTCTTTTGGTGGGGATTTAGTAATGTTGGCAGACACAGGATAAGCCCAGATAAGATGGAAAATATTAAGTGGCACCAGCTGCTCTAGATGCACAGGACAAAGCAGTAAGTATAGAGGTATTTTTTTACTGAGGCTGATCTGTTATCCCTGCAAAATGCATTTGTTTGTTTTCTTTGGCAAGTCATTATGCACACTAAAATGTTTTTGAAAGCCCCAGTGAATCATGGCTTGTTGTCGTCAGCAATAAAAATCCTGTTGACTGCCTATGAAGGAAGTATAGCTCCTGTTGTGGTTGGGACAGTGAAAACTATTAAGCGCAAACGGAATTTCATTTTGCAAGGGTAATGTACAGTGCAGGTCTTTGAGAAGTCTTAAATTTTATTTGGAGACAAATTTTTTACTATCCCATAAAGAAAATAAAAAACATTTTTCTGAAGATGGAGATAACTTTATAAGCTTGAATTTTGCTGTGTTACTGTTACAGTTTGCTTTTTTGTTCTATGAAAAATCTTTTGATGTAGTTAAGAAGCTATATTATATAAAAGTAGCATTTATTTTATGAATCATACAAGAGTATCAGTTTAAAAGAAACTTATTAACACACATTTTCTCAAGCCCTTTTTTGTAATTTCCTTATTTTTTTGGGAAAGCTTAAGTATCTTTCTAAAATTATCTATCATGAGAAGATTTGAATAATAACATAAACAACAGGAAAATAAATGTCCTAATAGATGCTATTGAAGTGTAATTAATAGCCTTGGTCATCTAATTTTGATGTTTTCATGGCCCGTAGACTCAAGTTAGCCTACAGTTTCATTTTAGTAGTGCTGTAGTTTATACGCTTATTTGCTGCTACCAGTAATGGACCTGTGTAATACATGTGCACATTGCCAGTGCCTTTAAATATGAAAACATTTCACAGCAAGTGCCTTTTTACAAAATCTTTTAAGAATAGTTGTTGTTATGTGCCAGCCTGCATCTAAGTGCATCACTAAATCATAGATTGCGAGTGTAGTGTATACGTACAGCTCCAGGTATTAAACTGTATTTGTATTTCTACACTGTTCAGGTTTAGGTAAGGCAGCCAAAGGAAACCATTTGAGATCAACTTTGCAGCAGATTTCCCCTTGTTTGCACACACGGCTGGTTCCAGCCATAGGCAGAGCAGGGTGTTGCCTGTGGAGGGAGACTGAGTGTAGCAAAATGGCCATGTCTTCACCTCTTTCCCCCAGTTCTCCTTAGATCTGTTCCCTCCTTTCTTGCCTCCCCTTTTCAGAAGCACTACAGATGATAGAACTCTATAGATGAACTATAGATGAACCACAGAATTCTGTAGATAGAGCTATAGATGATATAATCTTTATGTGGTTTCTCAGTCTGGTTTCGTTCTACTCATATTGCCACTGGTTTGCTTTTAGATGAATTAGGGCTATCAAGTTTAAAGTGAGCTTGATATTTTCATGTAAAATACAGGCATACTTTTGACTGAATCTGGGTCCTCTCCTTAAAGTTTAGATTTGGGGCTGGGCTCTGTACTCTTGACATTTTTTTCTATAATAAAATATCCTTTAGAACCTCAGATGTATTTTCTTTGGGCTGCTTGCTGTGGTTTTTTTGTGTGCAGTTGAATTGGGAAATTAATTCATATTCTCTTTCCATGAACGTGGAAGTGGGATCATTAACTACTTCAAAATAAACCTGGCAGTGATTTTTTTTTTCACTTAACATGAATTAAGGAGACCACAGTAGGCATTATCTGTAGTCAATAATAAGTGATCACTTTATAAAAAAATATATATATATATAAAATTAAATTTACTGTCAAAGTATTGCTTAAGTTGATAAATTTACAGCAGTGGTCTGCAGGTAAAGCTCACTTTATATCTGGTTGCCTTTTGGGAAGAAAGGTAGGATTTATTTGATCTGCAGGTAAGAGAGGCATGCCTTGTCCGGCAATATCACAGGGGCCTCCATACGTATCTCTCATCAGTATGGGAATAGGAGATCTTCCTGTGTGGTGAGTGAAGAGTTTCCCGTGGAGGGATGGGGTTTGATGTGGCTCCATGTTGGAGGCAAAAGCCCAAGTCAGTACGAGGATCCTGCCTCTTTTAGTCAAACTCCCAACACAAAGCATATGCATATTAGGAAAAAAATGCATAGTGACAGTTTTTGCTTAAACATAACTTCTGTTCTATATGCAAATTTCTCATTAATGTTGATTTATATGATCAGGGTCCGTGAGTTCACCTGACTAATGAAATAGTAGCTCTTGTGTTTTGCTCTCACATGTAAGGACCAGTCAGTTTGTAAACTTCAGACTCTTCTTTGCCAGAAGGAATCAGTGATGAAATATAATCTCTTTGATTGTGCTCTAAACAGTTTTAGAACATCCAACTTGTAATTTCTGTGAAAATTATCTTGTACTCAAAGATCAACCTCTGGAAGTCTGAAAATAAACACTGTGTTCTTTACTCAGATAAAAAAAAAAAAAAGATACTTAATCCCAGGGTTTAGATGCAATGCAATGCTAAGCGTGGAGCCCCTATGGCACCTTTATTATATCACATAAAACTCATGGTATTTTGGTTCATAACACTGATTTGTGCTTTACTGCTGGCAGTTAAACAGTTTACTGCCCTCACTATCTTTAATTCATAGACTGATAAGACTGTACAAAAACAGCATTATTTTGCTTTGGGGTGGAGAAAGCAGTTTTGTAAGCTATGAGGGGAGGAGTATTTCTGGTTCCTATCAACATTTCTTTGCTCTGCATAATGGGAGAAGACCTTTCACTTAATTACCACTGGAAACCGTAAATGCTTAATTGACATAAAAAAGCCCAATACAGGCATTTTACAGTTTTCCTTTTGATCTTCCATGTGGATGCATATTGCACATACAATTTGAAAAGAACAACTAAAAAGCTCTGATGTGGATGTGTGCTAGCATGTGAGGAGGGCTTATATGAGTACAGAGTTTGGTGCAGCATCAAAGAAAGGGATACACCCATTTCACATGAATAAATTGAGCATATAATTAACACCTGGACTCTGCAAAATACTTTTGAAACACAGTTAAATCTGCTGCTTTTCTGCAATTGACAAAGTGCTAAAAGTGAAAATATTGATCCCTGTTGAGTTTGATTTTGAATGTACTTGATATCAGACGCTGAGTGGACTCAAACTCTTGAAACTCTTCAAACCATCAAGTAAGACTGAACATTGCCCTTTTACAACTGAAGTCAAAGGACTTTTAGAGCTGGTTCTAGTTCTTAATTGCTTTTTCAAGAGACACAAATTGTATTTTTAGTGTAAGAAGAAGCAATTCTAATTAATGCAATCTTTCTCTTTTGCCATAGCAATTTATCCAGAAACAAGCTCTCAAGTTTGTCCAAGAAGCCTTTTCGCCATCTGGGTTTGTCTGATCTGTAAGTTGTCATTTCTTAAAATATAAGTTTATTTTTGGCTGGAATGGAAGAATAACACTTCAAAGTTTGTTCTCTTAAAGGTAGAGGAATTAGAAGTGCAGTTCTGGTCCAAAGAAAGGATCAATTCTGGACACTTAAATGCAGAGAAATTTTCATTCCAGGGCTTCAAGAAGGTTAAGTATATATTTTAAAGCAATGTAGAGGTCAAAACAGCCTCTTCCTTCAGCTTTAAGATATTTTATTGTGAGATTACTTCACACAAAACTACTGGTGTTTGTTTAAGTATTTGAACTAGTGAAAATACAGTCTTTCGCACATATATAAGATTGTCTCTCATATTCTTACAGTGGTGTGGCTGGCTATTTAAGAGTGTTTTTATTTTCTCAAATTCTTGAGTTTCACTGTGCTTTATGTAATTATTTAGCAATGAAAGCACTGATAATAATTTCTTTATTGATTTTTTTCAATACTAACATTTTTATTCTCTGTTACTTCTGCCATATATTCTTATTGATACATGTTCCAATCATCCTGTGCATTCTCTGCTAATATGCAGAGAGTCTGCAGGAGTTCTGGGAGATCTGGTGGCTGCAGAGGAGAGGGAGGTTGCTCTCCTGGATCTCAGAGCAGAGTCAGAATTTGCCCAAAGTGCCAACTCAAGTATTAATTACCGGACACGTAATCCTAGTCCTCTTCTGGTGGACTTCAGCATGTGAGAAGTGAAATGAACAAAGCTCAGTGGCACAAAAAGAAGTTATGCCCCTTAGGTATACTTTGTTGATAATTAAATTGGTATAATTATTTTCTTTATGGTCCTAGGAACACTGCTCACTGGAATATTCTTTAATAACTTGAGCTGAGGTCTCTAATGAGGAGACTAGGTAGTCGCAAAACTCTCCCATTGCTCCATGTGCTTTGTTGTTCTGTTGGTTGCACATGAAGAAGCAGGGCAAATGTAGTGGGAGTGAACCAGATATGGGAAAAATGGATAGTGTGAAGGTTAAGGAGAGTAGTATTTGTCATATGGAGGCAATGCATGATGATGTACAAGTTGAGAGAAAAAGGGGATGCAAAATTGAGGTAGAGTGTTGTGGGCTTGGGAGAGGGAGTGTAGGACTAGACAAACTGAAGTTATGCAAACAAATGTGATAAAGTGAGATAAACAGATGTGGGGGAAATGAGGGAAAGAAAGTGGAGGGATAAAAGCAGAGCCTGAAAGGAGGACAAGCTGTGATAAAATCAGTATAGCTGAACAATTCTGTTGATAAGTGTTTAATACATAGCTGCAAGATCAGAAACAGAAGAGAAAGAAGAGTGTTGGTAGGTGAATCTGAGATATGAATGTTGCCATAAATAGCTTCTAAAGAGCTTCCTCTCAATCTGACAAACAAGTATGTTTGTCCTGTCAGTACCTTTGCATATCAAAATGTAAAGGGATGAGAAGTTTAGAATAATGTGTAGTAGAGGTTAGTCACCAGGTATTACAAAGCAGGAGATGCCACTATGGAAGGTTTCTTCTAGAACAAATGAACTGCAGCCATAAAATTGGAGCAAACAACATGAAGACTCGGAATTAGCTTACTGTAAGTCAGAATTTTTTTTCACACACTTGTCTGTAGAGGGTCATTATAAGTCCAGCATCCAGCCAATGATGTGCCTAACTCCTTAGATGGGTTTAACACAAAATAAAACACTAGAAGAAGACTGCTCAGCCATTGGTCAAGACAAATTTCTCTTTACCAGGAAGCCATAGTATGAAACAGAAGTAAATGTCACTGTTTTGAAAATGCATGAGATAGGCTTTGACCAAAAATTATCATGTTCATACTATGTTTTGTGCAAACAATTTTTGTTCATGCTGTGTGTTAAAGTCCAGATGATGACTTCTGTGAATACAAATTGCTTCTTTAGACTCTTTTGAGGATCCATGCTGTTGTTTCTCCTCAAAGAACTTGAGATGGCTTTTGGAGGAACTGCTTTAATAAGACAATTTTTTTCATTATTTGCACACTTCATGTCTTCAGGAGGCATCTGTGAGCGTAGATTCTGCAAGAAACTTGAACTTCTGTACATCAAAAATACGTGTAAAACTTTGTTAAGAATGACTGTTCTCTTGGCAATTAAATGCCTTAAATAGACACTTGCTCACCCACTTTATTGGATCTCATGTATGCCAGTAGAAGGAAAAATTATGCTGGTCACTCTTTATGTAGATATGTTTCTGTTCATATTTAACATGCATGTAATTGCATTACACTGTTGTGTAGTTTTGTTAAATTTTAAAACTGCAATTTGTTAAGTTTGCTAAGCTGTGGTTTAAATTCCATGCAGGGTACTGTATCAGTTTCTGTTTCAGTGCTATTTTTTCATTTAGTATTTCTTCATGATATTGCCTAAGGTTTTACTGTGAGGTTTTTCTAGAGTGTTGTAGCAGATGAATTTTAAAGATTAGGCAAAATCCTTTCATGTGATTAAAGTTGGTAGAGTGTGTCTATAATCCAAGACTGACTTTATAAAGAATTTACCACTCCACAGCAGTAAACCATTTCTGAGGTAACTGAGTGGTAGCTCAGGTGTAGAGGAGATGAATTCTAATAACTTCCTGATTTATTAAATAAAATGGATCTTCTTGAGCGGCCATTCTCCACGGGATCCTGACTTACACTGATGAATTTGAAATAGTAGCCAAATCCTTTGTGTGGTCTCTCTTGCCTGTGATGTTCTGGGCCCTCAGTGGATGCAGTGCTTAATTCCTTACGTGGAAACTGCTATCAACTTGGCAGTTTACTCTGCACTGAGCTTATCAGAATGCATGCGTTATGTCTCTTAACTAAAGGGTTCATCCTACCTTCCTTCATCTTCCTAATGAACTTGCATTTTTGCCCAGCTGAATGCTTGAAGCCCCCCCTGCCCCTCATTTTTTACCCCATATGTGTGGCACCTTCTAAATAAATTGGTGTTTTTTCCTGTAGGATATTGGTGGATAATCCATTCAAGTGTTCCTGTGAAATCATGTGGATCAAGAAATTTCAAGAGACCAAGTTTTACACAGAAACTCAGGACTTATATTGCATAGATGAAAACAATAAGAAGACAGCCTTGCTGGATATGAAGGTCCCGAACTGCGGTAATATTCTTTTAACATAAAACTACTGCTAAATTATTGTAAGCCAGGGAGAAACAAACATGCTTTTCTATAAAGTACTTCTCAGGATATGAACAATGGAAAGGTTGGTGGTCTTTCTGTGGTCTTTTGCCCCACATGAAGTGGTTCTTGGAACTTCATAGAATCACAGAATATCCTGAATTGGAAAGGATCTATCAGGATCATGGAGTCCAACTCCTGGGCCTGCATAGGACACCCCAAGAGTAACACCGTGTACCCAAGAGCATTGTCTGAATGCTTTTTTAAGTCAGACAGGATTGGTGCTGGGACCACTTCCATGGGGAGCCTGTTCCAATGCCCAACCACACTCCTGATATCCAACCTAAACTCCCCTGACTTATCTTCATACATTTCCTTGAGTCCTGTCATTGGTTACAAGTGGGAAGAGATCAGTGCCTGCCCCTCCTCTTCCCCTCATGAGGAAGTTGAAGACCCCAGTGAGGTCTTCCATTAGTCTCTTTCAGGCTAAGTGATCTCAGCCGCACCTCATATGGCTTCCCTCAGGACCATTTACCAGTTCATGTCAACCTGTTCATTTTTCTCTTGATCCTTTAAGAATGTACCATTATTCAAGTGTAAAGAAACAGAATACTGATTATAGATAGCAAACAGGTATTATACAGAATGGACGTGCCTTTGTTGAACTAAATATTAGTGTTTCCAAACTCAACAGATATTCCTAGCTCAATTTTACCTACTTGAATTTTTTTTCCAGGTATTTATAGCTAATGAAGTCTCTCTCTGTTTGCTTTCAAAAATACTAGTGTTAGGGCCATAGGAAGAAAATTCAGAACTACATGCTACTTGAGACATATTAGCAAGATCTTTGTTCTCCATACAAGTGAAACTCTATTAAGTTCATTTTAAAGGCTATACAAAAGAGTTATATCAATCTTAGGTCTGTGGCATATTGCAACATACTGTTTTCGGATATATGGGTCCAGAAAAAAATTGAAAATTATATAACAATAAGGCCATCTCCTTGCCTTTATATATACAGTTTTGCTGCCTACGTATAGTCCTGGGACAGCTGGGGAAAGATTTCACTCACCAGCTGGAGATTCCTACTCCTCTATATATGAGGGGCAGAAATGGGGTCTTTCTAACATGATGTCACATCTGCTGAACTCTAGAAGCAGAGTGGGAAACTGGAGTCCCCAGAAGCAGGCAGGCAGGCAGGAAGGAAAGAGGGCAAGAGAATCTTCATGGAGGGTTGATTTGGACAGGAAAAGCTATAAATGAATGTGACCGGTAGGAGAAATTATACCTTTTCTCCTTCCATCTTTGCCCATTGAGCATCATTTTCTCCACTGCCTGTGTGGAGGGTGTGACATCCTCTGATAGCAGCTGCCAGCAAAGAACAGCCATGGTGGGGACCACTGCAGGCTCAGCAAGTGCGGCATTTACTGTCAATAATGTGTTTGTGGCCTCATATCACTGTTGCTCTTGTGCCTGGCTTCTTTCTGGGGTGAGGTGTGGTGGCAGAAATGGTGTTAGTGTCTCATGCAATCAAAAAACCCCCACATGTTCCGGCAGTCTTGTGAGCTGCAGAGTTGGTCTTGTGTGCTCCAGGATCTGATTTACCTGAAATGAGAGAGATACAAAACCTAACTGAGCTAAATGGACTCAACCTTCTGCTCCAGCGGGATGGACTAGAAGGTAGATTAATGTGCTGGGTGTAGAGAGGTTGGCTGTTGGACTGAGATCAATTATTGCAAGAGAGAAACTCCAGCTCATTTTGTAACATTCTTGGCTGGCGCATCTAGAAGCTACCAGGTTGCTAGGATTTTCCTTTGAAAACTTTTAATGTTAAATACCCAGAATTAAACCTGTGAGAGTTTAGTTCTTTCCCCTGATTTCTTAACCATCTTTAGCCAAAAGAGGCTTGTCTCTGGGCCCTGGATGCTGTTTAGGTGCAAATGTATGTACACATGCATGCATCCTGTGGGCATATCTTGACTAAAATACTTGTCATGACAAGGAAAGGTGGTACTTCCAACTAGAAGAGGAAAAGGAGGAGGGAAGGTGAGTATATACAACATTTGGACTGGAATTTGCAGTATGTGTAATTTGCATATAGAAAACATGCGTTGTATTGAAGATCTGAGTGGATGCCAGCACACGCCTACAAATAATTTATGTTAGTTTACAAGGTCCAAATATCACCAAATTTTACATCACTTTTACTCCCCCTTTTTTTCTTTTGTTTTAGCAGCTGTTTCATCTTAATTTACTTTTTCAAAATTAACCAGTGCAGGACATAGATTTTTAATAAAGATGGCAGCACATCCTTTTCCTAGACATAGAGTAGAGAATGCCTGGTGAAGAGCAATGACCCCCATATTGGTGGGCTGTGTTCTGGAAGATATCTGAAAAATTCAGTGGCTCTTGGTTTCAGTATCTTTGCAGGTATTTTTCTGTATTTTAAAGGACAAGACTTAGTTTCAAAACAAAACCACGGATGAAGCTGGTATGTTTCATTTCCAGAACCTTTTGAGAGGCTAATATGTAGAACTGAAACAGAACAGAAATTAAACTTTTGACATATTGAATTTTTTTCTCTCTTAGATGAGGACTCTAAGAACTCTTTCTTAGATGTTTTTTAGCTCCCTTTAATGTGGAGAGAAATATTGGGGTGTGTAGGCTTCTGCTTTTTTATAGTGAAACATTTTCTCTGCTTTTCTAATTTTCTCTGCTAATGAAATTGTTCCATCTCATCTTCTTGATGAACTTGTTTTTTCTTTCTTTTTTTTTAAATTTGTAAACTAAGCAAAAGTGCAGTCTTTTTGTTACTAAGGGGTTACTTCATAGTGTTATAGTTGGAGGCCTATACAGTTTTTTTGATAATAAAAAAGTGTTTTGATAATAGGATGTTTTTCTGCTGTGTGCTGTAAATTAATCTTTTGCTGGGAAGCAGGTAGAGGCCTATGTGGTTTATTGATCATACGGCTTTGGTTTGTAGGTAATTGATGAGAAAATTAGCAAGTTTCTGTGGTACTTTGCTAACTCTTTGTACGGTAGGAGTGTTCAATAATGTGCTAATTAAAGATTGCCATTTAGATGTAATCAACTTTGTGATTTAATTTCTTGAGGTTTAAAGTCAGGTATGCTCACTATCTAGAAGATCCTTTCCAGCTGCAATATTAAAAGTATAAATCAATAATTATTTTTCCAACTGCATTTGAAATGTATGTAGATACGATGAAAATTATCAAATTCTTCTATGTTTGAGGATCACGTGTAATTACTGGGTCAAAGATTTTCAAGTTGCATCTACCACAGTAGCAGAGCCTTTTGTGTATAGAGATGGTGATGTTCAGTTTTGCCATTTGTTCAGAGAATTTGCCAGTCGTCTGTACAGCATGGACAGCACCACCACCTGGGACATCTCCTTTTGTTTCCATCTAGTAAATAGCACTAGTAAATCAATAAAGAGAACTAAATGAATAAAAACACTTTATTCTTATTAATGCTTCTAAGCTCTGTTGGCTATTACCACCAGTGTCTTAAGTCCTTGGAAGGGAGGCGTGTTCTGTGCCTTGGTTAAGGTCACTCAAAAGACTGATCACCTGGAGCTTGCTGAATGCCAGGGAGGCAGGACCACATCCTTGGGACTGATTGTTGGTGTGTTGCTTGCACCTCTGGCAGACAGTTACTGATCCATTATCATTGATTTCAGTGATACGGAAAGTAGTCTTTTTATCTTCTGGGGTTTTGGGAAAAGGCGTGGCTTCTACAGCTGTCTCTGCAGTCCTGTACAGAATTTGTATTGCTTTGCATCTCAGTCTGGTTAATGGCATTTTGCCTTATCTGGTCAATTTAGTTTTGTATATGGAGATGTGATGCTGAGTCTGTTTTTCAGTTTTGCTTACTGTGCCAGCTTTGGATGCTTTTTTTATCATATATTGTTTCTTTAGGTGCCTTCTTTCTTATCAGTGGTCACATATGCTAGCTACAATCTACTGAACAATGTTGCAGATTAGTTCCCTGTGCTAATTTGCTTTACATATCACTAAGGTATATTCAGAATGGCTGGCTGTTTGCATCTGCAGCGGAACTGCTGTTGTGTCTAAGACCTATGTGATTTAATGAATGCTTACATTCTTTGCCTGTCTTTTCTCCTGCACACAGACTACCATGGTGTTGCTCTTAGTGCATACTAGGATAATTGTGTATGCCTGGAAAAATTTTAGAAGTTGTTGTAATGTAGAATTTCAAGCTAAAGTAATTGCTTTCCCATTTCTTACTTGTTGGGGAAACCCATGATTTTAACAGGCAATTGCTCAGATGACTGAAAATGGACTGGAACTGGGTCTAGCTTCATTTAAGCCTGTTTCTGGTGATTTTGTTTTCCATGCTAGAGGTAAATAAGTAAGTGGTAAAATGAGACTGGAGGCAGGTGGTTATAAATCCTAAGAAGGAATAAAGGCAAACTGAAGGATTGACACATTTGTTTATTTGAATTTGCAGAAAAGATTTGTAGTATTACTGAGCCAATAAAATAAGCATTAGATCTTAAGCAATCACAGTACAATGCAGTGTAAAACCACAAGCAAAGGCATAATCCAGTGGGTGTTGACATTTTTTTTCCACTATCAGATAGATTTCACTGATAAGACTATTAGAAGGAGAACATTACAGGCAAAATTGAGTTTTAGAAAAGCCTTAAATGTTCTCAGTGTTTACTTTTCAGAATATTCAAGGATTCTCTATCCTGTGTTGTTTATTTTGGCACAAGAACTAGATGTGGTGAATGATACGTAGTGGCAAACTCTTCTTATTTTCTCTGTAAGAGTTGTAATTCTTATCTGTGATTGCGAGCTATGTGAGAAACTTCATTTTTTTGTGAGACTTTGACAGTAATGGGGTTTCACTGTTGCTCTCAAGTTGAGTTAAAACTTAATAAAAGAATTTCTTAGCTTCTAAGCGGAAATAACCAAAATTTTATGGAGTTTGAAAGG